ATATTTTTTTCACTGTAACATTTTGATAATTATACAAGCCAAACCACACCTTGGTCACACCAACCCTTTTCTGCCCTGAAGATGTCCAACGCCATCTTAGTCTGGACCAGGGTTGTAATAGTTTTGCAATTTTCATTAGTTTTTATTTTTATTTAGCTTCGACTTCAGATTTTCAATTTTATATCAGTTTTAATCAGTTTTTACCAATTGTTTGCTAGTTTAGTTTAGTTTTGATTAGTTTCAGTTATAGTTTTAGTTGTGTCTGCAATAATTAAGTGTAGCAAAATCCCAGTCCCATCATATCAGTCATGCTCTTGTGCTTATCCTTGGGTATTGTGACTATTAACTCTTGCAGCACCGGGTGCTCCTAATTTTGGTTCAAGTGAATTTATAAACTTTGTGAAGGGAATTGACTCCTCTGCACACTGGAATAAACATAATCAACATGATCCACATTTTACTGCGTGTTATTTCACCATCTTATTGATTCAAATGCTCCATCCTTATGTGGTTTGCGACATTATGTTTATCCACTCTGTCTCTAAATGTTTGAAGAATTTTCAAGTTTGGGGTCAAATTTGACCATAAGGAAGGTCCAGTCGTTCTAAAATGGATTTCTCTTCTTTTGCCTTAACTGCGAATACTGTTGTGACTTTGAGTTCTGGATCTTCGATACTGATCTCTTTCACTTTAGCATCTTCTTGTGGTAGTTCCTTTTGCCATAAAAAACTTGGTCCTGTGAACCAGTTGGACTGTACTAGTTCTTTTGTCATGACTCCACGTGACGCGTGATCTGCAGGATTTTGTTCAGAGGCAACGTATTGCCATTGACTTGGTTCTGTACTTGATCTGATTCTCTGTATTCTGTTAGCAACGAATACATGAAAGCGCCTTGCGTCGTTGTTAATATAACCAAGGACAACTTTGGAATCAGTCCAGTAGTACTCCTGAATATTTTGGATCTCCAATTCTCTCTTTAGAAAGTCAGCTGCTCTCGTAGCTACTACAGCCGCAGAACGCTCCAATCTTGGGATGGTTGTCACTTTAGTAGGAGCGACTCTTGCTTTACCCATCACAAGAGTGCACTGTACTTCTCCAAACTTGGTCACTGTTCTCAAGTATGAGCACACACCATAACCGGTTACACTGGCATCAGAAAAGCTGTGTAACTCATACTGCTTCACTTGGTCAGATGTTGATGGGACATAACAACGTGATATCTTTATGGAGGACAGGTTCTGGAGGTCTCTGAGCCAAGCTTCCCATTGAGGCTTGAGATCTTCTGGAAGCGGCTCGTCCCAGTCCAGCTTTTCCTGACACATTCTTTGGAGGAGTTTCTTACCAACTAAAATGAACGGAGCGACGAATCCAAGTGGGTCGAATATTGAGGCCACTGTCGAGAGCACTCCTCTTCTAGTGAAGGGGTTATTCTTTACAATCACTCTGAATTGAAAGGTGTCTGAGCTTACACACCATTGGACCCCTAAAGCTCTTTCTATCTTTGGCTCTCCTAGTGCCAGATCCAGATCAGTTGCTCCTGCTACACATTCTTCCTTTGGGATAGCAGCAATCACTTCCTTGCTGTTGCTAATGAACTTGTGCAGGTGCAGCTTACCCGTGGCACACAGTTCTCTAGCTTCTTTTACAAGTTGAATAGCTTCTTGCACTGAATCCACACTCACCAAACCGTCGTCCACGTAGAAGTTGCGTTGCATGAACTTCACCGTGGCTTCACTGAACTTATTTTCACCTTGCGCAGCGACATGCTTGAATTCAAAGTTTGCGCATCCTGGTGAAGATGCTGCACCAAACAAGTGGACTCTCATGCGAAACACTGATGTGGACCTTTCCATGTTACCATCCTCCCACCATAGGAATCGGAGGTAATCTTGATCCTTTGGGGCAACATGAAACTGGTGAAACATGCGCTCCACGTCACACATGACAGCTACACGTCCTTTCCTGAAACGACACAGAACTCCAACAAGAGTATTTGTGAGGTCAGGTCCTGACAGGAGATGCTCGTTGAGCGATGTATTCTGGAACCTTGCAGAGCAATCAAAGACGACGCGGATCTTATTTGGCTTCTGCGGATGGTAGACGCCATGGTGAGGAATGTACCATGCTGGTTGATTATTTAGCTCAGCGTCTGGCACTTTCTCTGCGTCACCTCTCTTTATGATGTCTTGCATGAAAGTCACATAGTCCTTGTAGTAGCGCTCGTCTTTTCTGAGACGCCTTTCTAAACACTTCAGTCTGTGTTCTGCACAAAGTTTGTTGTTTGGCAAGTCAGGTCTTTCTTGTCTGAAGGGTAGTGGCATTTCAAAGTGGCCATCTTGCCTTTGTTTTATGCCTTCTTTTACTTTGGCTAGAAACAGTAGATCTTCTTGTGACATTGACTCTTCTTCAACACTTTTTTCAACAAAGTCCATCTCTAGCACATTAAGTGTCTCGGCTGGAGTAAGTATTTCTTTGACTTTGTTTCTGCTTACAAAGTGAACTTCCGTTTTGAGCTTGTGAGCTGGTCCTACAGCTGGCAAGACTTGTCTAACAATAACACGATGGCTTACTCCTATTTCATCTTCACAATCACCTTCAGAGTCACTGTAGCCAATGATGCTCCAGCCAAGCAAAGATTTCTGTGCAAATGGCTGGTCTCGATCACCACTGACCACCGCTAGAGGGAGCAATGCTTGAGGACAGTTATAT